CACTCAGGAAGCTCAAAGCCCTGGCTGGCCTGGGGCCTGCCTCCCAGTGAGGGCAGGGAGGGGCAGGCCTGCACAGGCCACGAGCAGGGCCCGGGTCATTAGTGTGATCTGCGGCACGGCGGGGTACAGGGGAGAGAAGAGATCCCGAAAATCTCCCAACAGATCAGGGCAATGTGAGCTCCCAGATGGCCAGCAGGGAGCAAGTGGCGTGGTGGTTAAGAGCACAGGCACTGGGCAAGTGGCCTCACACCTCTCTGGGTCTCATTTCCTTATCTACAAAGTGCCTGCTGGAAGGCTTCCTGTGACCATCAACTGGGCTCACTCTTGAAGAGTACTTAGCACAGCGCCCGGTGCACAGGAAATGCCAAAAACCAAAAGAAAGCCAGGGGTTGCCTTGGCAAGGTGAGACTTCAGGGTGCGCGTGGCAGCATGGCATAGCTCTGGATTCACTGCTGAGCCCCGTCACCAACTTGCTGGGTGATCTTGGACAAGCCACTCTCCCTCTCTGAGCTGGGCTCCTTGTCCGTACAGGGGTTTAGTCAGACCTCCTGCAGAGCCAGGATGAAAGGCACCAGGTTGGTCCCCAGGAAGTAGGAGCTATGATCACCATTTGATGGGTCTTTGATTCCCTGACTGGATGCCTTCAAGTGAGTGTTCTTAAGTGACTCAGAGCACCCTGAGATTTCTGGTTCCCAGCGGGGAGGGACCCGGGGGAAGAGGAGGAAGATCTTTACACAAGGATCAGCATCATAAGGATCAAGAACCACAGCTCAGCTAATGATTTTTGTTCAAAGCGAGGTGGGCAGGCTGGGGCAGGCGAGCCCAGAGAGGGCCAACGGGTGGATGCGGGTTGTTAGGCGCCCACAAGCCGGATTCTGCTACCTCTTGGCGTGCCTTTGGGCTTAGTACACCTGCGGTCACCGTGGCTATGCAGCTCCCTCCCGCTGGGAAAGGGAGGGGACCAAGATGAAACCAGGCATCTTAGCCTCAGGAGAGGGGAGGAGGCTCACACTGGCAGAGCATCTAGGAGGTGCCTGGTTCTGTGGGAAGAGGGTCATGTCTGTCCTCTGTACAGTGAGTGACACAGGCCGTCCCCATTTAAGACAAGAAACAGACTCCAAGGGGAAATAAGTCACCTCACTTCTTCTGCCAGGGCAGAGGGAAAGGGCTCTTTGTAGTGTGTGTGCATGGCCACAAACTGGCATGTGCAAGCGTGAACAGGTGTGTGCTGTGAGTGTGCACGTGGCTGTGTCTCAGGTGTTCGGTGTGTGGCTGGGTGAGTGACAGTGTATGAGTACCTGCGGTCAGTATGTGCTTGATCAGGTGCCGAGGGATGGCCATCCCTCGGTGATGGCCCAGGGCTCGTCCACTGTGCCAGGCTCTGTCATGAGGGCCACTCTTTTTTCCTGGGGTCACCGCCAACTCTCACTTGGCTCCTAGGTGAACTGAGGTTCCAGGCGGGGATGGGAGGTGCCTGGTAAACCCTGGCGCCCCAGCCGGTGGGGAGCCCCACCCTCTGTGCAAATGCAGGGCTGGTGAGCAGGTGGGGCAGGGCCAAGGCCCTGAGCAAAGCCAGTGCCCGCAGTGAGGGCGGCAACGCCCGCACCTCCTCGTCATAACTCCTGACAAGAAAGAGGCTTTGAACTTTGCTTGGCAGTGCTGGTGGCCAGAGGCCAAGGTCACGGTATGGCCAATACTGACTAAGGGGTCGTTGCCCAGGCAGAGCCCGCCAAGGGGCAGTAGGGGAGGCCTTGGGGCTGCTCTTCATTTTCTCTGCAAAAGAGCATTTTCTGGGCTGGGTGGGTGGAGAGGTCAAGGGTCGGGGGTGGATTAAACCAGACCGCTTCACCCACTGGGAACTAGAGATGCAGGGCCCAGCACCCACAGCTTTTCAAAGTCTATTCAAATGTGAGAGGTTTGGAGAGAACTGACTCTAAAATAAAGAGAAGATGCAAACCTGAAATTAATGTTCTAATTAATGCATTCGGGCTTAGTTATTAAATTTAGAAATCAAAACAATTTTATTACACTTGAAATCAGTTTGTAGGCTTGCTTTCCTCATTTTGCAAGAATTCACCGGTGTGCACACGGCTCTCTAAAAGTCACAGCCAGACAAGTAGTCCAATAATTTGCCAGGCAAAGTTTTAAAAATCCTTTCAAAGTTTTAACAGCAAAATATATATGTATTTAATGTGGGAGTGTGGATACATTTTGTTCTAATATGTTGAAATGCCAGGAGTGAGGCCTCCAAAGTCAGGCTTAGGACTGGATCAGGGCTATGCCTGGGAGAGGTGAGTCCCAGGAATATGGCCACCTGGGGTCAGGGAGCACTTCCACGTGCCAGGTGCTGAGTCCTGTACCTTGCATGCCTGATCGCACGCGGTCCTCATAAACATCTGTTGTGAGCACAGCTGCTGCTGCCTCAGGTAGGAGCTGTAGGTGCTCCATTCGGTCGGTGAAGGGAAAAGTGCCCTGAGTTATAATGACCCTTGGGAATCCCTTAGATAGGCTCCGTCCCGGGAAAGGACATCCCAGTAAGTGCCAAGCAGTTGGCATTCTGACATTGTTGGAAGAGAGGGTCATTTCCGCTGTTGAGGTCCAAAAGCACAGCCACCCGGTTAAAAAAAATACATATCCCTGAATACTAGAATCATCCTGTGTGTGGGAAGGAGGCACACGGGGCCAGAGACCCAGAGATTCATGTGTCCCCGTATCCCCAGTGAGCGAGTGGGGGGAGGGTGCCAAGCCACCAACACAGCTGTGGTCCCATTCCTCTTGCTGTTCTGCTTCCGGTTTTCAAGCACCCATGATGGAATTTGTGATTTGTATTAATGACGCCTAGCCACTGTACACAGGTAGCTCAGGGAAACAGTGTGCCAAGGCCTAGGTCACTCAGTTAGCCTGGGCCCCCGTAGCCTTTGCTCTGACCACTGCTCCCTTATGCTCCCGCTCTCCAGCTGTGTGAAGGGGACAGGCCTGGCAGTTGGGGCCTCTGTCCTCTAGCTGGCAGATGCTAAGGGCTGAATTAAGGCTTTGGCAATGGGGGCAGCCAGGGGGATGTGAAGATTATCCACAGAACCCACTAGCAGACTACAGCTCAATCCTCATGGGAATCTTGCAAAGTCACTGATATCATCCCCATTTGAAGGGTGAGGGTGCTGAGGCTCAGAGAGGTGATGTCATCTGCCCAGACTCACTCAGCCAGTGAGTGGGCACAGGGGGACATACCCACGTCTCATCTCCACACCAGTAGCCCTCAGCCACTACATACTTCCCTGAAAAACGTCTCTGTAACTGCCATGCCTTTAGCTCTCACTGTCTGAAGGATGGCATTCCAGGCTCTCTCCACCCTGCACTGGGTCCCCGTGCCTTGAATGCCAGGCAAGGATGTACTCCTACATACCAGTCAAAGCCCAGTCCGTCCATCACCGCTTGAGGGAGACCTCCCTTGACTCTTCCTCTGTCCCCCAACACAAGAGCCAATCTCAGGTGCTCCGTCCTGAGCACCCTATGTCCCTGCATCTCTCTGCACTTTGTTCCTTCCCTTCCATCAGCAAGATCCATCTCCCATCCTTTAAGGCCTAGGCTTTTTCAGGAAGGACAGCATCACAACTACACCTGGGGCACACTGGTGCTCAGCCCCTCAAGCACACCGTGCCTCTGGCTCCGGGAACCAGCAAACGGGCACTCCCAGTGTTTTGAAGGAACCTCGTATGTGACATTTTGAACTAAACATTAACATAAACCCCAGAGGAATATAGAATTTTGCTGGACTTCTTTCCATACACTTATTTATGGATTATGTGATTCTGATTTCTGGACTGTATTTTGAGCGGTAAGAGGTTCGCTACGGTCTTTTGTACGCCTAGGCTCCCTAAAGGCCCTGCGCGTCTGTCCAGAGAGCACCCATCCCAGATCCTGTGACTGTGCATGCCTCCGCTCCCCCCCAGACCCCCGCCTTGCTGGTTCGGAGGGGTCAACGCACAGTCTGCCCCCCCCACCCCCGCCCAGTGAGAGGGCAGGTGAAGACCTGGCCTGAGGGGATTTCTGGAGGCCCTGCTTTTGCTGTGTCCCCCGTGTCCTCTCAGTGACGCTCACCACAACCCTGAAAGGAAGGTCCTATTCTCCCCAGACTTTTCAAAGGAGTCCAGTGTTCAGAGAAGAGACCCGTTTTAGATCACACAGACGGCAGAGCAGGGGTCTGAGGGTCCAATTCTAAAGCCCTGCCTGGAAACCTGCCTCCTTCTCCAGGAGGTCAAGCAGGACTTTCAGCCAACTGCCTCGAGTTCCAGAGCTTGGGCTGGGGAAGGTAGGTGAAGGTCCTGCCCCCTGGGCTCTGGCCTTGCACTCACTTCTATTAAAGGAGACAAAACAAACCATTACACTGGCCAACCCCGGGGAGGACTCCAGCCGCGGAAGGGGAAGCTGTGTCCCTTGGATGCCTCCAGGAGGCTGCCGTGGGGGTGGGGGACTTATTGTTACCAGAATCTGATGGGCACCAGGGCAGGAAGGGGAATTTCCAGGGCCCTTGGAATTGGGGTGGGGACAGAGGGGGCAATGGACAATTCTCGGTCAAGGAGAGGCAGTAATCCGGGCAGGCTGTTACTCCTAGAGCCGAGACCTCGACCTGAGCAGATTCCACGCTCTATTGGCAAAGTTCTGGTTTTGGGTTCAAGTGTATGTCTCTGGAGAGGAGTTCTATAGCTTTGCCCAGGCTCTCAGACAGGTTCAAGATTCACAAAAGGCCATAGACTATCTCAGTTCAGAGTAAGGTGTCTGGTGTCAGAGGGGCCTAGGTTCAAATTCAGAGTCCACCCTTTACTAGCTGCATCCATCAGTGAGCCTCAGTTTCCCCAGCTGCCAAACAGAGGTAATGATATATTCCTCAAAGGATCGGGATGTGGTAAGTCCCTGGCACAGGAGAGGCTTTCCAGGCTCATCACTTCCCTTCCCACCCTTTCTGCTTAAAGCAGATGCCCGAGTCTGCTGGCAGGCGTGTGTGATCTGTGCAGGCATTTTATTTGGCAGTTACAAGTGTGACATTATCCCTCCACAAAGCCTTCATTACGGCGCTGCTAACAATACCACGGATAAGGCGGGGATGCCCCCTGTGTGCCAGCCTCCAGGTGATTATAACATTTGGGCAAATTGCCTTTTGTGTCGCGGAGAGATGACGGCGGGAGGGCCCGTGTGGGAGACTTCACTGGGCCATTTTGCCGAAGCCACAGGAGAAGCGTTGTGGAGAGGCGGCTTTGCTGCAGAGGGTTGCCTGGCTGGTGGCGGGGACCGGGCCCGGCGCTACCACACGCAGGCGGTATGGGGCTGGGCGGGTGACTTCCCTCTGCAGGTCCCAGGTTTCTCGCCTGTCAGGTGAAGACAGTGGCCTCAAAATGAGTCTGGGTTTGTCAGTGGCACCAAAAGTCTTGCTCTTTGGGCAGTTTTGGAGCAAAAAAAGTGGGCAGAGAACTATCCAGGGGAAAAGGAAGGTTCCGGCTCTTTCTTTCTTTCACTAGGAGACTCCAGAACCATCAGATGCCACCTTTAGCTTTGAGTCAGTTGAACCTGGGGTCAAGTTCCAGGTTTGTGCCACTTTAGGCAAAGTATGTCACCTCGCCTTCTCCACCTGTGAAGTGGGAATAACAGAGACAACCATTTCACAGGGTGACAGTGTGGATTAGATGAAATAAAATAAGATAAACAGTGCGACATGCTCAAACCAGTGCCTGGAACATAGGAAGCACTCAGTAAATGCTGGTTGTTTTTATTATCCTGCTTTTCCCCCAGAAATAAAATAAGGCACCTTTGTATCTCAGCAGATCCATTACTTGACTGCCATTCTAGTGACCGCACTGTGTGTATTATAGGATATACCTTGTGTTATTTACTCAGTTCCCTCCGGTTGGACATTTGGGATGCTTCCAGTTTTCAGCTGTTTAATAATGCCACAGGAATGTTAGAAGGCCAAATGTTTATTATGCAACCTTTCTAAAGGTGGGTGGGAAGTAGATGAACAATGTTTGGAAGCTCTTTGCCCAGGCCTCTTTGGACAGATGATGTGGGAGCTGGCCTGGTGAAGTGGAGAGACGAGGAAAACCTTTGCAGGCAGATGAGCCCAAATGTGAATCCCAGTTCCTACCATTTCCTGGGGGAAATTCTCTATCCTCAGTTCCGAGCCTCTGTGTCCACATGTGTCAAGTCGGAATCACATTGCGGAGGCAATGCTCCCCTCTGTCTTAGTTGGGTGTCTGGGGCACGGAAAATGCTTCGTCGATGTCACAGCTCACCGCGCCATCACAGTGCGAGGGGGGTGCCAGCCATCCCCTCCCCAAGACTCCAGATGACACAGGCCAGGTCTCCTTTTTGGACCTCAATGCATAGTCCTCCCTGCCACCCCGTTGTCCATTTAACTGAGCATATATTCAAATGAGGCTTGCGATCCTGATTTTAAATTCTGTCTGGAACCCACAGGTTCAAACGCAGAGGGGCCCTCTCTGCAAATAATCACTGGTATGTGATATTTTTAAGAAGCCAAGGCCATTGTTTCTGATTGAAGGAAAGTTGGTGCTATTTTGAAGAGCAGCACGATTAAGCGGTGGCGTTATCTCTTTAACCATTGGGAATTATACGCTGTTTGAAAGATTTGTGAGCTCTAGGACATTTGCCAGATGTGCCTGATTCGACATTTCAGACAACAAAGGGGATAATGTTGGCGGGAATCTTGACGGCATTTCTGATGATCAGGATATTCTTTGAGGATGGTACTGAGACCTTTCGGGGAAGAATTTCAGCTTTTACATAAACTAATTTGGGATGCTCACTCTCTGTCTTCCACAAAGCAAATTTAGTTCATTGTTAGTTGTATATGTTAAAATGGTTACGAGGGTTTTTTCCTTTGAATATTAATAATGTGCCTTTCATCTGAGACACTCGCATGGGGTGTCATTAATTGCGGGGAGGGAGTAAGGATTAGCGGTGCTGTTATTTTGCAAATGATTCCTACCAGTAACGTGGAGGCGAGCAAGAGCTACATGAAGAGACACATATATAAACCGCTAACATGGCTCTGGCTTATCCTTCCTGAGAATGACAGGGACGGGGAGGAGGGTAAGGGTTAATCTCCCAATTTCCCACCATATTAAAGGTAATTATCCCCAGTATCTTCTAGTGCTTCCTTATTGGCCCACAGTGTGTAAAGGACCCTTTATCAAATAACGTACCATCTCACTTTGGGGACGGTGGTGTTTTTGTCTTAAGACTCTACAATGGACCTTTTCGTTCATTTAGGAACATTATAGAGGTCCCGTGGGGGCAGGGCCTGGGCTTCGTGGAGAAACAACTATAAATGAACCATGGCTCTGCCGAGAAAGGGAGATGACCTAGTAAAGAATAAGCTAGGACACACGGCCGAGAAGAACAGAATTTAGGCAGAGTTGGGTTCGTCTCTGACTCTGTCACTGGCTGGCTGACCAGGGGGCAAGGTATCAACCTGTCTAAGATCAGGTGTCCTCACTGCTCCTACAAATGACCCACTGGGGGTGGCAGGAAAGAGCAGCAGAGATAAGCAGGTACAGGGCTTAGCAAGGGGCTGGCAAGGATGCCCCACAGGCCCAGGCCTTTCCCTGAGCTGTGGCTGTTCAGGGAGCGCCCCATGCCATTCTTCCATGCCAACCACAGAGCGGTGTGGAGGACTATGATGGGTGGAGAGGAGGGGGAAGGGCATCCTGGGCAGGGGGAGGACGTGAGGTGAGAGCACAGGTGTGTTTATCGATGGAAGCAGCTAGTCCGGCTGAGCTGGAACATGGGGTGGAGGAGACAGGACGGTGAAAGATGAACTGGGAGACTCTAAAGGCCACAATCAAGGGCCTGCAGGGCCCAATGTTTCCGCAGCATTTCGTTTCCCAAGCAGAACCCCCGAGGAGGCAGACAGACATGGCACATCCAGGCTCGTTCCCCCCGGCTGCCTCCTTGTCTCTCGAGCACCCAGAGAAATCTCAGCAAACCCCAGGGCCTCCCTCTCCGTTCTCTCCTCTAGCCTGAGTCAGTAATCACCATGATACCAGTCACAACCGCCAGTCACCAGACACAAGCACTGTGCCAGGTGTCTTGCATACCTATTGTCATTTTTCCTAACCTTTAGATTAAGTACTACTAGAACACCCACTTTACAGATGAGGAAACTGAGACTCCAAAAGGAGACAAGGAGTAAGCTAGCCAGTGGTGGATCGAGGACCAGAGGCCGGCCAGAGGTGTGGATTCCAGATCCTGGGCTTTTAACCACCACACCAGGCTGTTTCTCTAACCTTTCCAAGTCTCCTACAGGAGGCAAGTCCCACTTTGGTCTCTGTTTTGCTTTGTGTCTGCTGTATTGATTGGAAAATACTGGCTTCATTGAGTTGCTACCTTTTAAGGTTTTATGGTCCCAGCAAAGGCAGCAGGAAAGTACACTGGGAAGATCACCAGACTTGTGGTAAGATGGAAGCAGGTTTGCATCCAGCCTCACCATCACCAGTCTGTCATTCCCTACTGGACACCCAGTTCCCTGATGCCAGGCCACGCCCATTCCCAGCTCACTGGATGCGAGGGAAGTTCACTTGAGATGCAGTGCTCATGAGCATGAAAGCTTTAAGGCGGGCACCAGAAATGACTGCCATCACTGGGGCTCGGACAGCAGCGAGTGGCAGGGACCTGGGAAGTACATGCCCCGAGTAGGCGCCCACATGCAGGCAATTTCAGGCACAGGGCCAGCCAAACACAGGCCACGCAGACCAGATTTGGCCAGAGGGTCGCTGCTTTGAGACCTTAGATGTGTAAGCTTTTAAGCTTTTCAAAGCTTCAACAGCTGTGAAAACTTGGAGGTGTGGAGAAATACAATGGATTGTTTTTACTATTCAAAATAATAAGTTGTCTGTTATGTGCTGGGGACTGAATACTATATAATTTGTTGAAGACTATGAGGGGCTTGTAGGCAGGTCCTCTGCCTGCCTGCCCGGTTTTCTTAAGTAAACATTCAATCAGCTCCAAGTCTGGGGACCTGTGTGAGTTGCTGGGGACCCAGTGATGAGTCAGAAATAGTCACATGGTCCCTGCCCTCAAGTAGCTGCTGGTCTAGCAAGGGAGCTAGCCAAATCAAGATACTTCGGCGGTTATGGGCTAAGTGCTGCTGGGAGCACAGAAGAGGAACACCTAACCCAACAGAGCAGGAGACGGAGGCGGTGGGAAGAGAGTGGTCAGGGAAGGCTGCCTAGGACAATGATCTATCAGTGGTTGGTCCCAATCCTTATGAGTGTTGTGAAATCCACTTCGTGCATAGCAACCAGAATTTTTTAAAATTAAATAGGGGCGAGTGGGTGGCTCAGTTGGTTAAGCGTCCGACTTGGTTTCTGCTCAGGTCATGATCTCACGGTTCGTGAGTTTGAGCCCTGGATCAGTCTCTGTCTCCTCCTTGGGAGTCTCTGTCTCCTCTCTCTCTGCCCCTTGCCTGCCCCGTGTCTCCCTCAAAACAAATAAACTTTAAAAAATTAAGATAGAAAATATCCTAGTGCATCATAGATACAAGGAATACATACAAATGTGTATACTGGGTTGTGATGTACACTATTGCTTACTGCAGCCCTGGGGCCAAAGGTTTGAGAGCCACAGACTGAAAGAATTCTTGCCTGCCCGGATCCCCAAAGCCTGGCGCACAGAGGGCACTCAAAGCTTTTTGGTGAGTGGAAGGATAGATTTAAATTCTCACCGGATTCCAGCAAGCAGGTACATCCTCCCCAGGTAAGAGAGCCAAGTCTAGCAAACCTGGGGTTGTCAGGAATGCTTTCCATTCAGCAATTTGTGGTTCAGTGGGCTAATAAAGCTATTCCATCAGGCCTGGGGGGTGAAGCCAGTGTGAAGCGGGGGAGGAGCTGGGGCCGTCCAGAGAGGCCCGAGGATGAACCGAAGGCAACCCTTCTGCTGGTGCCCTAGCCTGTGACCTCCTATAAAAAGAGTGTCCCCGGCCCTGACCCAGCCAAGGTGGCATGTACTTCATAATAGCAGTGGCTTGGGCCACTCTGTTTATTCTGGGAGGGCCTCAGGCACCACCGCACGGCCGGCAGCCCTGCACCTTGGGGATGCCAACAGGAAGAACTGTTTATGGCGGCAGAACAGAATGCAGAGGAGAAAGGGCCCCAGAGAAAACAGGAGATGGACAGAAGTCCGGGTCAGTCCCTGGCAGGGTGAGGTGAATCAAAGGTAATGACTAGGTGGCCATAAACAGAGGCTCCTTTTAGTGGTTTTCAGGGCACTCCATACTTGATCTGTCCTATAATATCAGGACCAAAATACCCCTTGGCTACCTTTCTCCACCATCGCAGCCTCTTAAGGTTGGAAAGACCCTAGAAATTATCCAGCCCGACTCCCTCATTTTACAGATCAAGAGCAAGGGGCCCAGAGAGGGAAGGCACTGGCCCAGGGTCAGCCAGCAGGCAGCCTGAGAGCTGGGCCCAGACATGGAACCTGGGTCTCTGGCACACAGCACTGGGGCCCAGGGCCCTTCAGGTGCCCCTCTCTTGCCATCCCGCCATCTTTCCTATCTAGTCTTACCCCCTCTGGCCCCTTCCCTACGTGCAACCAGAGAAATCTCTCTAAATGATGAATCAGTGACTACTCTACCTGCCTGAAACCCTCCCTGGTTCCCACTACTGCCCTCCCCCCTCCTATCCCTCGAGCTTCCTCTCTTGCATTTCTTCCCTTGAAATAGTGTTGTCTCATGCTCCCAAACCACTTGTAGCCCCTAAATAGCCAGTGTTCTCCCACATCTTATCCTCGGCCCCTGCTGTTCCCAACACCCTTCCCAACCCTACTGCACTTGTCTGCTCTTACTTAGGCTGCGGGTTAGATCTTACTCTTTCCAGGAAACCTTGATGGCCCGTGACCCTGACCTCCAGGGTTAAGTACCTCCACTAGGTTCCCTTGCGGCAACTCTGATGTACTGTCAGTTTCTCCTGCTCCCTGAGAGAAGACTCTATGATGCTGTCTCACCCAGAGTCAGATCCACAGCAACTGATCACTAAGTGTCTGTTGACCAAACAAGTCATCAGTGTCCGTCCTTCTCCAAACCTCCTAAGAATGGCCTTCCCTTCTCATGATGCGTTTTTAAAGGCTAATTTTTTTTTTAGAGCGGTTTTAGGTTCACAACAAAATTGAGAGGAAGGCACAGAGATTTTCTGCATAGCCCCTGCCCCCAAGCATGCATGGCCTCCCCATTATCAGCATTCTCCACTAGCGTGGGCGCATCTGGGAATGCTACACTGACACCTCATGGTCATCCAAAGTTCACATTTGGGTTCACTCTGGTGCAGTACATTTGACGGGGCCGGGAAAATGTAGAAAAATGTGGAGGCATCGCTGTAGTGTCATACAGAATAACTTCATTGCCCCAAACATCCTCAGGGCTCTATCTGCTCTCGCCGTAATGCATTTTCAAATTTTATTAGCAAGCATGGCTTGGTAGGATTCTGGGAACCACAACTGCTGATTCCCCAGTCACACCATAACTTTTTTTTCATGTCTCTGTGTCTTTACATGTGCTGTTCCCTCTACGTGGAATGCCTTTCCCCAACATCCTTGGTAACAAAATCCTGCTCATTCTTTAAGGCTGATCACTTCTGATACCTTTTTCCTCATTGACACCCTGTATCCCAGCCAGGTGATCAGTCCCCCCCAGCCCCGCTCAATCGACCTTCATCTCCCAGGACTTCCGCCAGTGGGAGGTGGGAGGAACTCCCCCCTTAGGAAGGAAGGTGAGAGCATCTTTGTGTTTGTATGAAGGCTCCTCTCAATGAGTCACACAGAAGGGCACAAACGTGTTACCTTCGTAGGACAGAAGACTGAGTGTGGACGCTGAACCACCACCAAAGGGCGGAGGGCCTGTGCCAGTGACCAAGCTGCTAACTCTCAGCCCCAAACCTACCTTTCTATTCCCACTTTGCAGTCGGGACCGGGCTGGGGGATGCATCTCTGCTCTGCCGGCTGTCCCCCGTTAGATGCTGCAAGGCACGTGGAGGCAGAGGGGACACACTCTTTTCTGGGTTGCTGGTTGCTCATGTCAGTGTCAATGTCAGCAATGCCGCCTCACTTCCAGTTTACAGTTCTCTCCCGGGTCCTACCATCGGCTTTACCGGCTCTCTCTCCAGAGGCCCCACTGGGCAGCAGCCCATCCTCGGAGGTCTGGGTCGCTGCCTCCTGGGGGGGGGGGCCCTCTCTTGACCCTCTAGGTTCTAACAGCCCAGTCTCTGGCTCCACCCCCAGTTCTTGGGGGTAGTAGCCGCTTCCTGCAGTTATTTACTCTGTTACCTCAATGCTTTTTCAGTTCTCCAATATTTTTTTCCTTTTTCAGTATTCCAATATCTATTTAACCGATTTTCTGATACTAAATTCTCTCTGTTTTCCTGACTGGACCCTGCCTGATACAGAGACAGACTTCCTGCTCACATGGATCTTACAGTCTAGTGGAAAACACAGACGTTCAAGCAATTAATCACACAAATGAGGATTTAATTACAGTTGAAATAACTGCTGGGAAGGAAAAGTACAAAGGTATTAGCATACTGATGGCCCTGAGAAGCCCTTCAATAAACGAAATTGTCCAGCATTGTTTCACTCGGTATCTCTTTCATTTACTCAATCAAGACGCTTCATAGCGAGCCTATTAACACCCAGGAGAATTCGTGTTCTACAGAGTGTACCTTGTTCATGGAAGGTGGGAAGTCATTAGAGAAAACTGCCAGGGGACGTGGAGTGTGAACACTGGCCACGTTCCTGCAGCGCGCCCAGTGGGTCAGCGCTACTTCTACCCCAGGCTTCAGCCACGAGATCAGCTGACTTTGCTCTTACTCCAACACCACAAGGTAACTTTCTGACGACCACGGACTTCCTGGGCAAATGCCCCTGCAGGGAGAGGAGGCTCTCATCAGCCAGCCCAGGCCTCCTGGTCTCCCTGGAAGTTTCTTTCTGCCCTTAGAGCAGAGTTTCTTGACCCGCGTCTTTAGAAGTACCCCTTAAGACTATATGCAAAATGTGCATGTGTGTGTGTGCGTGTGTATGCGTGTGTGTGTGAACATGCATGTCTATGTATGAGCACACACATTTTTCTAGAAGGAGGGCCCATAGTTCTTGTTATTTCTAGTGGGACAGTGACTCTAGGAAAGAGAAAGGCTCTGAATTATCATGTTAAAGGAAAGTGTTGTTACTTGTACACTGGCCTCCTCTGAGTTTGCTCACTGTCACTCTGATCAGCTTGCGTCCGCCCGCCCACTGAGGTTCTGGACCCTCCAGGGCACTCCCATGGCTGAGGGGCCAGCCAGCATTCTTGTACCACATGGCATCCTTCACCTTCTCAACATTTACCTGTGCTATTTCCTCTCTAGAAGACCCCTCCCCGTGTCCTGTGGCAGACTCCCAGTTATTCGCGAGGTCTCCTTTTAGCTGTCGCTTCCTTCTTGAAGCCCCCTGAATTTCCAATTCTGGATGAGGTATCGCTTCTCCGTGCACCCACAGCATCACTCCCAGCTCCCTGGGACTCCGGCCTTTACCTCTCCCCCTGCCCCAATCTAGTGCCACGTTTCCCCAATTTTCCCCATGTACTGGGCTTACCCCATGAGACAATCAACCTTTAAGGTGCTTGTCTGTCACCTGTCAAAACATAAGCTCCATGAGGAAGGGGGTTTGTGTCTAGCTTTGGTGCTCATAGCATCTAGCATTTAGTACGCATTCATTAAATACTAGGCAAAGGGAAGCATGCAAAAATATGTACTTTAATCCTTTTACTGTTATACGTATGTGCTGTCACATTTAACCACAAATGTCCCTTGCCTCATTTTATGACTATGTACAGACTTGTCAGCCATGAGAATTCCCAATTGTGAAGCAGATCATAATTTTTGTCTTTTATCAGCAAAAGTTTCTTTCTTGCCAAATGCACACATGTCTGTGCACACACACGCACAAACCAATGGGTAGAGGAGAGAAGAGAAAACGTGTGCCACGGGGTGTCAGAATGAACATACCTGCATTTCTCAAAAAGCGGTTCCTATAGTCTTTGATTATCCTGGTGACAGGGTTATAGAAGCCGTCTCCGCAATCGTAACAGCCTTCGGGGATTTTCCTAGGCGGGTCTATATTGGTGAGTTGAGAGATCCCTTGAAAAGATACAGTGGACAATTAACTCACTGCCAAGGCCAAATCTAAACCCGGCTTCCCTCAAGTCCACTTCTGGCTGGTTGTTCGTGTGAATGTCTGCTACCACCGTTGGACTAAACACTCCCGATTCAGAGCAAAAGCAGTAGGAGCAGTGCCTCAGAGCAGCGTCCTGAAACTGGCTTTGTGAGCAGGGTCTTGGGGACTAGACCCCAGCTTCTGCCCTTGACCCCATCCTCCATTTCTAGGGAGGCCACGCCAAGAGCATAGGTTCTGGAGGCAGAGAGACCGTGAGGGTGCATCACAGTCAGCCTTGTGGACAGAAAGGCATGGCTCTCTCTCTGCCTGCAGGCTTCAGTTGGGGTGATGAGCCCATGACAAAGTCCAGGCCCTGTCATAACTAGCCCAGGAGGAGCTGTTTATAAGGTTCTTAAGTGGCGCCTAGACTGGCAGCTCCTGGAAGGAGGAGACTGTGTCCCCGGTGGCCCGGCCAGTGTTTGACCCAGAGTAGGTACTCAGGAAATTTAATGTCATTGCCTTAATTCCCACATGCTCATCTCTCTGCTGTGAAGTCAGCATTATCCTCCCTGTGTAACTCTTTACTGAGTGCCTACTGTGTGCCCAGCAATGTGCCAGGCACTGGGGACACAGCAGTGAGTAAGACTGGGCCCCCGCTCTCATGGAGCTCAGTTGGCTTGGGAAGAGAGACTATGCACTCATGATAGAGCTCTGGGCACAGCCACGGCTGCCCTGCATTATGGCACAGGGAGACCTTGCCTTGTCTGGGAATTCAGGGAAGGAACCCCAGACTGAAGGGCATTAAGCTGAGACCTGAAGGATGGGAAAGAGTTCTCTGGATGAAGTGAAAGGGCAGAGCATCCCAGCAGAGGGAACAGTAGGAGACAGCATGGCCTTTTCAAGGAGTAGAGGTATAGCCAGTATGGTGAGGGAGGAGAGAATATCCAAGAAGGGCAGGTAGTGTGGGGTGAGGTAGGGGACAGCAGCAGGAGCCAGAGAATGCAGGTCATTTTAAGAATTTGGAACCTTATCTTGAGGGTAGTGAGGAGGCACTGAAGGGTATGTGGTGGGGGGATGGCAATCACAGTCATGTTTCTCAAAGATGAGAGTGACTGCAGAGTGTAGAATGGCCCAGAGTGGGTTAAACTGAGGGGAGAGGCTGGAAGTCTGGGGAGAGGATGGAACAGGGCAGCACCAGAGAGAATGAAGGAAACCCAGCATGGCCCGTATAGGTGCTTAGTAAGCGATTCTGTGATGAGCACTTGAATGAATATATTTAAGAGGTAGAATCCACAGGACCAGGTGGTGGCTTGTACATGGGGAAAGGAGAAGGCAGGACTCGGGCCATCCAGGTGGGCGGGAGCAACAGTCTCTGAGGGAGCAATCACTGGGGGAGAAGGGGCTGGTGGGGAAGGTAAGGAGTTCAGTGTAGACAGAGTAAGAGATGACAAATACAGGTGTTGGGGAAGTTGGCTGCAGGAACCCGAGGCTCAGGGATTTTGATTTCCATTTGGAAGCTGATGGTATAAATGAAGTCTTAGAAATGAATCAGCTTGTTTAGGGAGAGGGTACAGAATGATAACAGAAGGGGCTAAGGACAGAGAGCCCTGGGAACCCCCAAATTAAGAACTGTGTGTGGGGGGGGAGGAGCTGACAAAGGAGACAAAGGGAGAGAAGGTTCACCTGATCAACTAACTGATTCAGGGTGACAGAGCCAAGGTTTGAGCTCAGGTCTGCCTTATTCCAACCTGGGTGCTTTCTGGAGGTTTCTGCCTTCATGGAGGCTGACTTGCCCAGGCTCATCCAGCTACTGAGAGGGAATTTAGGACTGAAACCCAGACCTCTCAGCTCCAGGCTCCGTCAACTACACCCCATCATCTCATAAGTTAGGATTTATTCTTACAGTTTGCAAAATCACTTTCCCACCTGTCATGCTCGACGTATTGTCTCAGCTGTGTCAGAAACTATGCTCTTAAAGGGCAAAGGACGTCATGCAAGCCCCAGAAACACAGATGAGCCCCTTACGTAGCTGCTCTCTGAATCCAGAGTCTAGGCCCAAATGTAACCCTGTGTGATGGAACATGGTTTCTGATGATACAGGGAACGCAGAGGGAAGACTTGGGACCCCCTGGATCTCCTCCTGGGAAGTATGTCTGTACCCTGGGGCCTCGGCTTCCTCCTCTACAACATAGGACCAGATCGGCAGGCATGGCAGGGTCGTCTGGAGATTCTAGAGAGCCCCAGCTAGCACCTGATACACAGAGCTCCTTCTCCTTCCGTGCTGCTCAATGTCTGTGCTACAGCCGGTGCTAGGAATAACCCCCGCTGGGATGGACCGCCCACTGTGAGCTAGACGTTGCTGTAAACACTGTACATGCCTTATCCTACTTTCAACACACTTGTGGGGTGAATGATGCTATTGCCCCATTTCGCAGGAGAGAAACTGAGGCACAGAGCTATGAATGCCCTGCCTGCGGTCCCCAGCTGGTACAGCGGAGACCTGAGGACTGGTCTTTCTGGCTCTACAACCTGGCTCTTTGGTGTCCTTCGGCCTCTGCTCAATTCCTCCTCTCTTTTGCGTTCCTTCAATAGGCCGCGGCCCTTCGTTCCCCTCTCAGGCTGGGTGTGAAGGAAAGGGCGGGTGCCCAGGTACCTGCAGGCTTCAAGCCATAGCAGATCTCGGTGTAAAACCTCCGGTCATAGCTGTCGCAGTAATGCCAGTGCTGGGCATCATACTGCAGCCCGTCTGGGAAGGTGTAAGTGCCCTGGAAGACAAGGAGCATGCGCGCCGGCGTGAGGCTGCCTGAAGACAAGGAGCATGCGCACAGGCGTGAGGCTGCCTGGACTAAAAGGAGCATGCGCATAGGCGTGAGGCTGCTCTTCTCCCAACGACAGATGTCAAGGGAGAGAGGTGGCTTTCTTATTCACACAGAAGAGACGTGGTAACTATAATAGCCATTATGGCTGTGATGATTAGAAGGAATGGCTATAGTGCTGGGCTCTCTGTGACTGGCACTCAAAATATGGCGACTCACTGTGTGACGTTGGGCAGATGACCGACCAAGCCCTTGCAAAGCCCTCATTTGCAAAGCTGCATAATAACAATATATATGTCATAGGGTTGGTTCAATGAGATAGTACTGGCAAAGCATCTAGCACAGTGCCTGGCATAGAGTAAACATTCAGTTGTAGCCAAAAAGGTCATGGCCATCAGTCAGAGCCCATTGTACAAACATGTACATTCTGCTCTTGCTGCCCTAGTGCTGAAGGAATCCCCAGGATGTGGAGTTCGCATTGGCCTGGGCATCAGGAAACGTAGGTGGAAATTCCGATACTATTAATTCACTGTGTGACCTTGGGTAAGTCATATCCCCTTCCTGGGGCTTAGATTCTCAAGCTGTTAAACAAGGAATGTTTCTTAACTTTCTTAAGGTGGCTAATAGCCAGCCAGTTTCACCCAGAGAAACTATACTCTTGTACAAATCATGAGGTTCCACTGATTCCCTGTATTGTATTCATGGCCTACAAATACTAGGTGGGGTTAGATGGGTTAGATGATTTGTCATGATACCAATAGCAGTGGCAGCAGCAGGACTAAGACCTAACATGGAGTGCCTGCTGCATGCCAGGTACTGAGGAAGCTGCTTAGAGATATCACCTCATTTGCATTCACAACCACCCTAGGAGGTGGCTAGTACTATCGTGGCAGGCTAATAAGATCCCCCAAAGATATCCACATATATATGCTGGAACCTGTAAAAATGTTAACCCTATCTGGCAGAAGTTACTTTGCAGATGTGATTAAGTTAAGGATCTTGAAATGGGGAGATTTTCCTGGATTATCTGGGTGGGCCAAATATAATAAAAAAGGTCCTTATAAGGGGGAAGCAAGGGGGCCAGAGAGATGGAAGACAGGATGATGAAAAAAAAAACAACAACAGAGAAAGAGGGGTGACGATGGAGGCAGAGGTCAGAGTGATGCAGGAAGGCAGGAAGCTTCTAGAAAATGGAAAAGGTAAGGAAATGGATTCTCCTGTACAGCCTCTGGAAGGAATGCAGCACCACTGACCTATTTTAGACTTCTGACTTCCAGAACTGGAAGGTAGTACATTTCTGTTGTTTTAAGGCACTGAGTTTGTAGCAATACGATGTACAACTATTGTCCCCAGTTTATAGGGGAAGTCATGGGCCCAAGCTCACACAGTTAGTGGCACAAGGATTCAAACTCATCATGGGCTCTCCAGAGGCCCTTCTGGATCCAGAGGGGAGGATTCCAGAGCCCTGGGAGATGAGTAGGAAGGGAGCAGAGGGAATGGAATGAGGTGGGCACCAGATGGAGAGGTCAGGGTGCTCTGTAGTGGGGGCTCTTCCTGTCCAAGGCTTTGTCCTCTGCAACCTCCCCTCCTCAGGCTGATCACCTTCACAGCCAGTCCCTTTTCCCAAATGGCATCATAGCGGCTCCCACTGGGGAAGTACAGGGTTCCTTGGCCATGAAACATGCCGTCCTTCATTTCGCCAACATATTTTGTTTCAGTAGGGAGGAGGTATTCGGCTTCACCCTCCATCCTGCAAGGACAAAGGGAAATGATTGAGCTGTGTATGGTGGCTGGAGGATCAAAGCTGGCAGGCACAGGCGAGCAGGTGGGAACCTCATCCTCAGGGTACTCTGATGTTACCATCCCAGTAATATTTTCTTCAAAACCAAACTTTTTCTTTTGTTTCCCTCAAAAATTCAAAAGTGAGAGGGTCTATGTTGTTGAAGGTGGGGGTGGTGGGGGTGCAGAGTTTTGTCTCTTTGTCTTCCCCCTCACCTACAGGCTGTCCTGGAGTTCACACTTCCCTCAACACACCCCTTGGTAGGCCCAGAGAGGAGAGGGTTGTGCTCAAAGCCTCACAGTCAGTGCCGTGAAGCAGAGACTAGGGCAAGAGACTAGGGTCAGGTTTGCTGGCAGTCGGTTCTGGGTCTTCCCTGTCCCCCATGGTCAGCCTACCCCTGCGCTCCACATCACTAGTAGAGAATTTGGAAAAAGATGAAATCTAGACAGGAGACATGGGCTTGAATCTTATTTCACCATTTCCTAGGCATATCATCTTGGAGACTTTCCTAAACCTTTTTGTTTTCCTTTCTTCCTTCCCTTTTTTCCATCAAGTATTTCCAGAGCATCTACTATCTATCAACACCTACTATATGTGGTGAGTCTGGTCAGCTGGATACAATATGGTCACAAGTTCAAGGCATACACAGTACCCTACCCCTACTTGAGGGGGCTCACAGTCTAGTGGGGGACTCAATGAAGTAATTACATAATATGTGCTAGTTGGCGTGTGTGTGTGTGTGTAAGACAGGCCCTTAACAGGAGCACAGGGCAAGTATGCCTAGCTTGGCCGGTTGACCACTCTCTTCGTGTGAAAGTGACTGAGATTAATGCCCAAGATCAACTCAGATAATGTGTAATGATTTTCCTAGTAAAGGGCCCGCTGTGCAGCAAGTGCTGAAAAAATACACTTTCCTTCATTTCTTCATTCCCGTATTCCTTCTCTATTCTTCCCCACTAGCTGGGAGTCACCTGTTCTAACTCTGAACTTCTTTAGGCTTTTGTGTGCACTTCTGTTGGATGCTCAGCACTTCCTGCCTTGCGTTGTACTTGTATACCTTATATTTCCTATTTCATCAAAGCTTCTTAATGAAGACCTTGGTATCCTTAGTTCTTGGAACCATGATTCTGCTTACACAGGTGCTCTGTAAACATCCACTGCATAAGGAATGAAAACAGAAGGGTCAGTGAACTGACTGAGCAGATGACAGATGACAGATGACAGATGACGCTACTGTGCTCAAGGTACGATTCCTGAGCCATGCAGTCCTGGGGCTATCAGGCCTGGTTCTGGCCTGGCTCCACCTCTGAGTCTGTGTGACCTTGGGCAAGCTCCTTCACCTCTCTGAGCCTGAGTTCCTCATCTGCAAAATGGGGATAATGACAACACTCCTCCCCGAAGTTGAGTTAATTGGATGAAATAATAGCTATGAAACAATAGCGGGATGCCCAATATAGAGTAAGAATTAAAAAATGATTTTGCTTTTATTCTACTGCAAGATGTGGGAGAGAATGCCTTTTCTCCTTTATCTCTTTGCTTGAAATCACATCCACCATTTCAGTCTCCATCAAGACCTTTCTTTGAGATTAGAACCCCACTCCCTTTTTTTTAAACTGCAAACTGGACATTCATTGGTCAGACGAATCTATAGGCATCTCTAGCTCACCCAAAATGAAACTCATCCTCTCCTCCTCCAGAGAAGTCCCTCCTCAGAGTTCTCAATTTCCACAAATGGTACCAGAATCCTCCAAGTTCAAAGCCTAGAGCTAGGCACTGAGCTGGACCTGGAGGCAGTCTCTGAGTGGGACTGGGAGCCAATCAGTTGCCACGTCCTGAGAATGTAAATTACTGAACTTCTACATCTTTCTCTTTCCTGCAGCCCCTCTGCCTCTGCTTTGATTGAGTGTCCTGCTGCCTCTTATGGGGACAAGTATGGGCTCTGACTTGATTTCTTTATTTCCATTCTGCCTCTCTCCCTCATTCTTTCCCCTTTCTCCCTCTCTTTCCTTCACTCCCATTTTTCTTTTATTCATTCAAGACAAAAAGTCTTCATTATAAATTCAAAGTAAGTTAAAAAGAGCAAACAGAGGCACCTGTGTGGCTTAGTCCATTAAATGACAGACTTCAGGTAAGGTCATGATATTGTGGTTCATGAGTTTGAGCACCACGTTGGGCTCTGGGCTGACAGCTCAGAGCCTGGAGCCTGCTTTGGATTCTGTGTCTCTCTGTCTTTCTGCCCCTCCCCTGCTCACACTCTGTCCCTCTTTCTCTCTCTCAAAAATAAATAAACACTAAAAATTTTTTAAAAAAGAAGAGATAAAGACCCCAATCCATAGCGAGGACATGATTACCATATCTCAAATTTCTTTCTTTCTCCTTCCTTCTTTTTCTTTCTTTTCTTACTTTCTTTCATTAATTCACTCAGCCAACATTTACTAAGTGACATATGCACTATGAGGAGGGTAAATTATATTTCCTAATGCCTACCCCTACCAAGGATCTACCTATCAGTGGCTCCTCCCACTCACAGAATTGTGCACAGTATTCAAATCTCTGTATGCCAGAGCTCAGACCCACTATTCCAGCTCTGGCTTCCACTTTCCTTAGACACATCCAACACTCCAGCTGAACTGAACTGCCTTCTCTTCCCGTTAAAGTCTGAATTAATGCTTATGCTGCTTCCTCTGCCCGGAAACATTCTTCACCTTTCTTCTCCATCCACCTAAATCCTACCCAAACCTCAGGGCCCATCTCAAATATTTTCTCCCCCAGAAAGCCTTCAAGGACAGTCCTAACTGGATGTGTCCTCTGTAGGAGACCAGTAGCAGGGCCCCATAGTTAGAAAGCACATGGGCTTTGGAGTCAGACCTGAGTTTTGATCTCTGATCTGCCCAATGCCAACTAGGTGACTTTGAGCCAGTTACATAATTATTCTGAGCCTCACTTTTCCCACCTGCAAAATGAGGATTGTATCTATCTCATAGGGCTGCTGTGGGGAGGAGAGGATTCAGGCAAAGCCACTATATATATATGTTTTACCCCTGAATCTAAAACTGACAGATAGCAAACACACACGTATATATGGAATGAATATATCTCAGCTATGCTGCTTATTAGATATGTGTCCTTGAGCAAGTCACTTTACTTCACTGGGTCTCATTTTTCTGAACCGTAAAATGAAAATAAACAATCATACCTGAAAGCGTTGTCCCAAAGGCCAAAAGGAATAAAGTTTGTGAAAGTGCCTGGTATCAAGTGGTTTGCACAGGCAGCCGTCTTTAACCAGTCACAGATATTTAAGACATAGTGAATCAGATGAGTCCCTTACCTCCCGTCTACGTATTTCCCAATATACTGGCTCCCCGTGTACTCCATAGCGCCAGCCTCTAGCTTCCAGCGGTTGGGATCCTGGAGTCTCAGTGCGTCCCGTCTCACTATGACAACCAAGATGGGCGGGGCCGACGCGAAGCCCCGCCCCCAGACCCCGCTGCCCTTCCAGGCACTGCGCACGCTCTGTGGCTCGCGGTTGGGCAGAGCTGTGCGCCTGCGTGGCTGCCCGCGCATGCGCAGGCCCGAGGTGGCCCTTGGCGGTCGAAAGGGGAATTCAAGGAGACGGGGGCGACGCGGCTGCGGGCGCCTCCTCGGGGTCGGGGCTACAGCCATCATGCCGGGGATAGTGGAGCTGCCCACTGTGGAGGATCTGAAAGTGCAGGAGGTGAGGCTCGTCCGGAAGCCAGGCAAGCAGGGCATAGGGCTGCAGCTTTTCGGGCCTGGGCCCAGCCCTGCTTCGTCTCACTGGACTGTGGGCCCTGGGTCCCCCCACTCAATGCCCCCCGCGACACAGACACAGATGGATTCCCGGACGCCCCCGGCTCAGCTCCGGGAATCGCCTCACCCTCACCCTTTCATGCAGTGGCTCTTTAGAAGTTTCCTCTCCTCCCCAACCCCGACCTCCAGCCATCTGCTTGTCTTTTCCGTGAATAATCGTGGTACTTTTTATTAAGCACCAGCCAGGGCCACTTTACTTACTTTAATGTCACTTAATACTCAAACCTCCGTGCAAAGCGAATATACAACCCCGGGTGCTCACAGCCGAGCGAGAGAGTCACTTCCAGGTAGCCTCATCGGTACAGTGTTGGCGTGGAGCTAGGAAGCCAAAGCAAAAGGAGATGAAACTGGAGAGTGGAGTTGCTGACAGCCCTGGGAGGGTGTTTGGTAATAGGACATTAAGAGCATTCATTTATTCAGGAGATATCGTTTGAATAATTGCCATATACACCCACACTGGGAGAATAAGAGATAGCGTTCCTGCCCTCATAGAGCTTATAATCTAATAGGAAGACCGGCGTAAAGAGGCAGAGTATAGTGAAGTTTGTGCAGTGCGAAGTGAAGACAGTATATACTAATTATAGCAAATATGACCAAGCCTTTTCTAGAAGTCAGGTAGGATGCTAATTACTTCACATACATTAATTCATCAAATCCTGCCAGCAACACTATGAGGGAGGATATTATTGGTCTCTTCACGTGAAAGATAAGAAAACAGGTCCGGAGAGCAGAAGTTGATTTGCCCATGGTCACATAGCTAGTAAGTGGTGGAGCTGGACTGTGAATCTAGGTCTGACTTTAAAACCCATGCTTTTAAACCTTTGTATCATGGGCAAAAGCTCAAAAGAGTGAGAAGGCTTAGCAAAAGCTTCTGAGGCTAGGGAGACCAGTGCTGTTTGCTGTGACTCTAGTGTTGGTGGGAATCAGCTGTTGCTGAGCCCAGAGAAAGGTACCTTGGACTGGAAGGACTGGGAAGCAGCTTCCTCAGGGCCAGACTTATTTTACAGGCGATGTGGTGGGAGAGGTGGAAGATGTTAAGGCAGAGCAGTGTCATGGCAGGACTGGATAGTAGAAATGAGGCCAGAACTAAAAATTATGTGCCAGCAGTTCTATCCCAGGCACTTCGTTAAGGGTTTTACCTTCATGACTTCAGTTAATCTTCTTAGATGCCTATGAGAATGGCAACTATTATTTCCCATAGAGAAAGAACTTTTTAGCTGTGTTCAGGGACTCTATGGTAACGTGCCATTTACTGAGAGGGGCTGCCAGTATTCACTTTTGTTTTGTTTTTGTTTTTGTTTTTGTTTTTTTTGTTCCACCTTGAAGCTGGGTTAGCCTGAAAGTGCTGTATTTTTCATTGGAAGTTTAATTTAATCTGAGGTTCTGCTTCCTGCAGGTATTCTGAATCTGGAATAAATTTGCCTTTAGTGCTCATTCCATTGAATTGAAATACAGATAATTACATAAATAACTAAAATACAAGACAAAGTCTGATTAAATATATGGAAGAGGGGCAGACACGGTTTAAGAGCAGAGAGTAGGTTTTGAAGTTGGTTCTAAATTCGAGGCCTAACTGCTCAGTTACCTTGATTAGTCACTTGTAGGATCTGCAGACACAGTTATTTTATTTGTACGATGAAGTGATGCCAGCTGTATAATTCTCTGAGGCTATAAAGGGAACAGAGAAAGCACCTCTGGGGCATAATGTGGGACTTGGCTAAATGGCATTTGAAGAATAGCATTTATAGGCCAAGACGGACAGACAGGCTTTCTTAAGCTAGGGTTTGATCTAAGTGAAGGTGAGGAGATGGGAAAATGCAGGAGGCCACAGCTGGGTTCTGGGGACAGTGGAGTTCAGTGCTTAGAGACAGCAGCAGGTCCCTTTTTGGAAGTGTTTCGGGTGACAAGGCTGGATCCAGAAGGCTTTGAAGACCCTGTAAAAAGTTTGGGCTTTTTTCTGCCATTAAGCATGAATCCTTCCAGAACTTCGTTGCTAATTGAGCACAGTAAGAATTGTCTTTTAGGAAGGCCAGTCTGGCAGCTCTGTGAAGAATGGATTGAAGAGAGGGAAGGAAAAGCAGGGAGACTAGTCTTGGCAGCTGTTGAAATAACAAGGAGGATATTAATGACCCCAACATAACTGGTGACTGTACTCACCGAGGGGAAAGAACAGATTTATCTGGAATTGATCAGACTTAGCATGACTTAGATATCACAGGCAGGAAAGGTCGAGGAGTTGGTCAGATTTGCAGCCTGACAGTGGGACTGGGAAAGCCAGAAGGAGCAGTTTGAGAGACAAGTCAAACACAGTGTGGACCTTGCTGACACATCCCTGTGGAAGAAGTCATCCGAAGCTTCGGGCTGGAACCTCCTTGTACTAATTGACAATTTTGAGTAGAAATAATAGCTCATATTTTTGATGTGCTTTCTATGTGCCAGACACTGTTCTTAATATTTTTACGTGTGTTAACTCATTTAATCCTCAACAGGATCAAATAAGTACGATGATCCCCCATGTTCTGTAAATTAAGTCACATAGAAGGCACGGCATACGTTAAGTGCTGTAGAAAGAGACACAGACGTGGTTTAAGGAAGAGAGAGCAGGACTGGAAGATTGGTTGTAGATTGTAAGACTTTTTCTGCCTCCCTTTCCACACCTGCAGACTGTATACACCCGCTGTGCAGGGAGGCTGTCATGAGGGTAAATGAGGAAGAGGCTGGAATTCTGTGTTCTTGGAGACAAAGGGAGCTAAATGAATTTGAGAGGGTATTCACATCAAGCAGCTGGGAAAGGATGTTGTTTCTAGTGGAACTCGTCTGTCTTTGTGAAGAAGCAGGTGAGGGGACATCTGAAGTCCTTTGCCATCTCAGCGAAGGCCGTGTAACGCAAAGAGGCCTGATTGAAGGTCACAGTCTTTGGATTTCAGTTCTGCAGTTGCCACTGACCTGCTGTGTCATCTTGGGCACGTCTTTGTCCCCAGGAGAGATTCAGTAGGTGGTTCTCGTCCTTTATTTCCCTGTGAGAGAGCATATTTTACATGATCAACAACACGGGTGCACCTAGATTTTGGTAAGACCTCTCCATTTGTAGGAAAGTAAGGCAAAGAGTGCCTTTGTGGGCACAATGGCTGTGAAGGCATTCAAGTAAATAAGCCGTTTAAAGATCTTTTAAGGCATTGGTCAAGGAAGTAAATACAGCTAACTTAATTTTTTTAAATACATTAAGCTTTAAAAAGTTTGAGTTTTGATTTTATTCTCTTGGCTTTGTACAGATAATAGAGCAAGTTAATGTATACCCCTCAATTAAGCTAATAAACTCTTATTATAAAAAACTGTAGAGGCGTCTGGGTGGCTCAGTAAGTTAAGCGACCGACTCTTGATTTTGGCTCAGGTAGTGACCCCTTGGCTCCTGAGATTGAGCCCTGCGTCAGGCGCTGCACTGACAACGTGGAACCTACTTGGGATTCTCTTGCCTCCCTAGCTCTCTGCCCCTACCTCCCCTCCCAATAAATTAATAAGTAAACTTTAAGGAAACACAATTGTATGGGGCACTTAGGTGGCCCAGTTGGTTAAGCATCTGACTCTTGATTTCAGCGCAGGTCATGATCTCGTGGTTCATGAGTTCAGGCGCCCTGTTGGGCTCTGTCAGGGACTTGTGGTGATGGTGTGGAGCCTGCTTGACATTCTCTCCCTCTCTGTCTGCCCCCTTCCTGTTCATACTTGCTCTCTTTCTGTCTCAAAATAAATAAATAAACTTTAAAAAAACAGCCGTAATACAACATTTTACAGATTTTTAAACAAATTTATTAGAATTGTCATGGCAGATTTTACTTGTATCATAAGTTCATCTTTGCTTTGATAATTACAGCAGTTGTAATGTTAGTAGACATCGCCCTAACTTTATTCTCTTCCTGTAGCGTGTAGGTGAGTTACTCTCTTCATCTTTCTTTGCCTTTTATCATATCAGTAATTTAACTTAAGCTGTGTGAAATTCATAAAAAATAAAATTATAAACTTTTATCCTTATAAAAATAATTACAACACTGTTCTTACATAAAAGTCCTTAGTAGAATACTTATAAATCAAATCCAGTGATACCTTAGAGCATAATACACTACGACAGACTAGATTTTATTCTAGCTATAGTGGGAGATTTTTGGAAAATCTGTTAACTCTCTACGTTCATTTGTTTTAATTTTTTAAAAAATTCTCTACATTTATAGGTAAACCTGAATTTTTTCAGTCTTTCTGGGAAGAACAGTAAAACGAAACCAATTCAGATTAGAAAGAAACTTCCTTAATGAATATCCAAACAACTGTATCCCAGACACCAACAGCAAATATTGAACTAAATTGTGCTTTAAAGTCTAGAAAAAGGGAAGGATGCCTACAGCCATTGCTGTTCATTTGCATTGTCCTAGAGGTTTTAGTCAAAGCAATAAGATAGGAAAAGAGGAGGAAAAAAGGAAGGATATAACTATCAGAAAAGAAGGGAGGTAGTTTTTACTTGTAAATAGAGGTTTTTCCTCTTAATTCTCTTGTGTTTTTTTTTTTTTTAAGTTTATTTATTTTTTGAGAGAGTGTGAGCAGGGGAGGGAGAGAGAGCCCCAGGCAGTCTCCACGCTTAACGTGGGT